CCTGCAGTCATCTCATTTCCACAAATGCTAAAGCTAGAAGGTGCACGATCAATTTTCTACTAACAGCACATTCAACAGAGAACGAAGAGATGCAGTCTTCTGCAAAGTGATACTGCTAACACATAAAGATAATCTGTATCACGTTAGTTTAGAGATTTAGCACAAATTTTAATTTAGGATTTTGTAGTTTAATAAAAAAATTAACCTGTCAAGGACACGATTTATCCCCAACATAAATGTCTTCACCAAGTTTTACGTAAAATACACTTTTTGAATTTTATTTCATATCCCAAATGTCAAATTTAAGATGCAGGAAAAATCGAGACACTTAGAAAGATTCATCCATATTCATAAAAAACAAAGAGCTTTGCAGTGCAGACTAAGCTTTGTGTGCAGTGTAACAGGTCAATCATTGAAGCTCCAGGCCATTCCTCACAAACACACATCATTCAGGTGCATGCACTTCATTTTTTCAGTGAGAGGAGCTGATTGTTATTTACTTACTGCTTGAGAAAAGGACCACGATCGTAAATGTGGATGATTATACCTGTAAGAACAAGCGAGAGACACGAAAGCCAACACATTAATAACTGAAAACACACCACATGCACTGATGTCGAGCAGTGCTTTCCAGCAGACTTATATCATACACCAAAGAGATTCATCTCACATTACCGCAGTGTATTTTGAACATTTCCAACACATACTTATTGCTTCCCAGCTAACTGCTCATTATCTTTATCTGTGTTCCAATCTGACTCTGATTTGGCAAAGCAAAAGCAGACACTTACGGGTTGGGATTTATTTGTGAGTGCTTCTGATAATACATTTGGAGACCAGTCACAGGAGCATGCTGGAGAAGAAGGTCGCTCCCAATGTTCTGACTGTTCTCAATACTGAATTGCCCTCTGCTGGGCCTAAGCCAGTGTGTTTTGTAGGCTGTGAAATGGATTAAGGCTTGCTGTCCTTCCCCTTTAATTGCATTTTTGTTTTCCTCCCTCTCAGATTATTAAAAAAGATGATGATAAAGATTGTTTTAAAAAATGGTTTTAATAGATGACAAAGAGAAATCTGATGCACCGTTACATTCCTTGCCTCACCGTGAGAAAACCCCCCCTCTTGTTTTTACAGATTGACCAGCCTAAAATTAATATGACACACGATTAAATCCGCTGTCAATCAAATTCCTTTCCCTGCATCAGTGGCACATGTTCATAACCGCCACCAGCGATGAGTCAACTACGTATCTATGAGATTTACAATAGCATCTGTCTATATATCCTAATTGTGAGTAATGTTTTTGATCAAGCGTGCAATAGACCGGATGCAGTGCGCTTGTGTGCGGCTCTTAGAATAGAAGCACCGGGCTGGGGGTGGGGTGCAAGGCGTTTAGTCATCTATTGGGGTGTTAATGTGGGGAGTCACACTTCCCCAGGCCCTGCGTCCAAGACAAGAAGAGATCTATGGGCAACGCATGAGGAGAGGGAACAGCAGTCCTCATATGTCATCATATTTGGTAGTGGGATGGAGTTATTTATAGTTGGAAGAGGATTTAGCATTCGTCATAACAGTGACATTTCTAAAGATCTCTGGGGGATCTTGGGGGTGGATGGACACATTGCTGTGTGGGACATGTTGGATGCTGAGGTGCTGAGACAGAACTATGTTAAAAAAAATAGGCCACAAATACTCTTTCAGTTTCATTATAAGCTCTAAATTAATTAAGGAACTTCAATAATGGAAAAAGTCACGTTGTATCGATAGAAATGACTAATGCTCTGCAGAGGACGTTTATCAATCTCTGTAATTAACCTTCTGTTTTACCAACTACCCATCAGCCACAGCAGTAACCTTCACTTTGGAGGTAGTTCTCTACCGGGGAGCCAGTTTGCATAATCGTTCTCCAGGTTGTACTTGGACACTTTCAGTCTGGCTTTACGTTGCCTCCTGTGCAGAAGTGGCATTTCTCTGATACCTCACCCTCCCTGCAGGGTTCTCGTGACTACAGTTCCCGACTTGGTTAAGTCTGTGAGGCTTGTTCTGCACTCTGTGGCTCTTGATAATACTTTACACTCCAGTTGTCCACACTCGGAAAAGCTGTGATAACTTTGTATATCCATCTCCTGCTTCGTGAGCATCTAAACTAAACGGATTTCGCTGGTTTTGCCACGATGCTTTCTCATGACACAGATCAAATCCTTACTGAAGTTTTTATACTGTGTGTAAATTAGAAAATAATTATAATCATTGCTCAGCAGTGGATGGTTTGTTTGTGATGCTCAATAAAAAAGTCAGTTTTACAGGATGCTAAGATGCTACCTATGCTTTCTAAAGTAAACTAGTATGTGTAGAAATCAGAAGTTGGTCTGCAACATATAAACCTATATAGACACAAATAGTCTAAAAGGAAGCGGTTGATGGCATCCCATGTACCACGCCTGCAAATAGTATGTGTAGAAATGCTGTGCTGAAACCCCCTTACTCTGTTAGACGAAAACTTTAGATTTCATTGGAAGACTAATAATTTGGCCTTTATTTGTAAATGACAATAATTTCCGGGGTATATTCATATATAGACATAGTATGAAGAGGTCCCTTTTTCAGTAACCATCTCTCCTCCAAATAATTCATTTGGCTAGTTGAAAATCTGGAGCATTAGCTGTTGTGTGCTTGCTTTTTGTCTTAAAATAGCCAGATGATTCATGGTTTGAGAAACTAAGGCTATTCTATGGGGTGCAACAGTTTGTGCAACACACAAAAGTGCACGCAAAACAGAAGTGAGAGTGCCCAGTGAACAACTGAGCGACAGAAATAGTGTGTCAAAGTTTAAGATTTGGGAAACTGTCTGCTCACAGGCCAACAGTGAAGAAACAACTTCCAGGAAGATTTGCAAAGAAAAGAATTTTCAGAGACTGACAAAAAAAGGAAAATATTGAGATGGGCAAAAGACCCCAAAAGTGAGGGTTTGGGGGTATTTGGAGAGTAGTTTAGTAGTGACAATGTAGGAAATTTGTTCACTGCCCTACGACATGTTATAAATATTTAGAGAGCAGTCAGCTGGTATACTGCCTGCACACAACACAGCTTCTGGATCTGAGTCTTGCTGTTGTGGTGGGAAAAATGTTGTACATAAGAAGTGCCCATCAAACCATTCCACATTGTGGGCTGCACTTCATAAAGCACGGGCTAACATTTATCCAAGACTGCTTTAAGAAAGTGACAGTAACAATGTAAGAAGTAAGGTCTGTAAAACTGTGATGGCTGTGACTGGAAGAGTCTCTGCAGACGTTTATTTCTAAATTGCTTTTTCAATTCAGAGCTGAAGAGTAGCTGAAGCCTGCCACGGCTGACACTGGGGGAGAGAAGGGGACACGCTGGACAGGTGTGACTGCTACATGATTGTTAGGTGGCTCAGGGGAGCAGGTCATCTACTAATCAGAAGGTTGGTAAAAAAAGTATCCTCAGCAGGTCACGCAGCTCCAAGTTGCTCTCAGATGTATCATCAATGTGAAAGGTGAAGATAAAAGCACTTCTGTGATAATGTGTGAATGACATATGGTGTATGAAATGCAAAGTCAGTCCTATTACAGCTGTAGCAGCACATACACTGCATCATCGTGCAGGACAACATGTCCACCACAAGGGAGCCACACAAAATGATCATTTCCACTAAAACGGAAGTATTTTACTCTCACTTTGCAACTAATTTAAGATGTCACAGACCTTTGACCAGCAGACTGTGTGTGTGTGTGTGTGTGTGTGTGTGAGAAAGAGGGAAGTGAACTCACCGGTTGAGGAAGTCACTGCTAGAGTGCCAGCTGGATCCCTGTGATAAATAAAGATTTTTAAGTTAACGCATGTGTTCTCAAAGCCTCAGTCTGAATGTTGAGACGCTCTATGTTGATTAATATTCCTTTAATGATTTTCTTTAAAGTGACTGAAGATCTGTGTGCTGCGTTCTTGCAGGGCACTAAATTATGCATGGATTAAGGAAATCTACAATATTTGCTTGGTAAGCTTTGCAGTAAAATAAATGATTCTGGCAAGAATAGGAAAAACAAACGGAGAACAAAAACAAGTAATTGTGATTTTAGAGTTAATAAAAAGAATGCAATTATATAACAAAGGCAGAATTTTTATTTTTGTTTTGTGACATGCACAAACTAGAAATACTTCAGCACATCGTTCCCTTGTAACCATTTGTGATGTGTAGGCATAAAATGTTAGTGGTTAGCAAACTTATGCAGTGGGATAAACAGAGCGCAGGTAGTACTTAGGCAGACCACAGCGTCTCAGAAAGTGCAAATTAGTGAGGACCGCAGGCGACTACAGCTCAGCAAGCTTGGGCAGAGCAAGATTTTAGGAGGAAGAAGTGAAAGAGAGATAAGAAGACAGGCTCCTCTCAATCAGTAAATGCATGCATGGTGAAAACATGGGCAAAGAGAGAGGTCAGAGAGGCGGGAGTTCTTCGTGGCTGTCAGAGCTTCACCTTCACGACGAAAGCTGATGATCAGTCCCAGGAAAACGCTTTAAAATCAATGAAAGTGGCAAAAGCCATCAAGTAAGGTAATCCTAACCTGCCGTTTTAATGTTTAAAAGGCAACATATGTGCCAGAAAAGAGATGCCCCAGTGGAAAAACCTGCTTTGACCATATGGCTCCCCAGCTGGAATCAAAAGTTCAAAGAGGGAAGTGGTTACATAACCATCGCCATCTGACACCAACAAAAGGTAACTTCACGTTAGCTATCCTGTTGCACTGAGGCCAGGTTCACCTCAAAGGTCAAAGCAGGTTAGAAAGACAGCTGGCTCTACAGTTTGGTCCTGGCGTGGAAATTAATATATATATTTTTTTTACAACCAAACATGCCATTTAAAGTGTATAAACTGAGGCTGAACGGAGCTCAGCAGGGTTGCAGGAGAAGATGCATATTACAGTGAGACGTTTAGCAGCCACTCCACACGCACCAGTAAAATAAAGACAATACAAAAATTGACTGAAATAAACTGCAGTTTAATAAATCGCTATTCAAATCTTACAAAAGGCAGATAAAGCAACAACAGACACTCATTCCCTGTGGCTTCTTAAATAATGCCGTCATTCTGCCACTGTTCAAAAACACTGGCATAAAAGACCAGTTTACTGTCAACCAGCTGTATATAGAGGCCCTTTAGATGGGTGCTTGAGCTGAAACACAGGTTATAAAGGTTTACTGAGTTGAGTGCATAGCCTTAAATCATGCACAAATGTTTGCTAGTGACAAGATAAACACCTTTAACAACCAATGCAGCATTTTTCCACTAAAGTGACAGTAAAAATCGTATGCATAGCTTTACAAGAGGCAACCATTGGCAGAAGTTAATGTAAGCAATCACAAAAATGAATTTGTTTAAAAAAAAGAAAAAAAGCAACATGACAAGAAAAACAGCCTCGCTAACAGACATGTGCTGCTTGTCTAACTTGTTCTTTTTTAATAACTTATTTATGCAAATGAAAAGCAAATAAACAGAGAACCGAACTGGTCGAGAGCTTCAGTGTATTAAATAAGCGACGTGAAGAACATCTTAGCCGAAACATTACATGATATGTACAGAGATGTCCATGTACAGCAAACGAGGCCCAAAAAAGCCTAAATCTGAACACAACTGTGTCCTCTTGATGCTGAGGCTTGTGTCAGAGATGAGGGTTGTGTTAAAGGAGCGATGACTTAATGTAGTGAGTACTACAAAAGCAGGTTTGGTTGAGGAGTAGCAGTTGTAGTTGGTAGTAGTAGTAACACCAGGGAGGTATGGGAGAGAGGAGTGTGAGAAAGCCCGAGGACGTTAAATGTCAAAGGCACTGAGGAAGACAAGACAGGAACAGGAAGCCCCGGACAGGAAGCGCATCATCAGTGAGTCAATAGCTTAAGCCGCGTGATCCAACTGACCAGTAGTGAGCGCTCTGCCGTCGTGCGCTTGGAGACGGGAGCTACCGGAGCCTTTTTCGTGTCTTCCTGGTAGGGGATGGTGGCACTGTTGTGGAGGTCTGAGTTGGAGTAGTAGCGGCTGCCCCGGATGTGGTCCACTCGGATGAGATGCCGTTCCCCTGCAGGCCTGTAGGGTGGAGACACCGAGGGGACCTCCTCAGCAATGGTGGGGATCCTCTCGTTACTCAGGTATCTGTACAGGAGGTCCTCACCTAAAGCAAAGACACAATGACAGGTTATTCTAAAGTCTGTAAAAATGCTTTGCAAATCTTTTTTAAATATTTGACTTGTTTTCTTATTGAAATTAACTAAGCAGCAACTTAATGGGCTGAAAAAAATAATGATGTGCGATAAAGTGTAGTTCCACTAGTGGCCACTTGAGGCTGTCTCCAAATGTGAGTCAACAAATTTAAATGATAAGTTGCACACACCTTTCCTTCCCTGCGCCCAGGGCTTTGCGTAAGGATCAACCACTGACAGACAGGTGTCTGCAGGCATGGACAGCGGCCGGGGCTTACCTGTAGACAAAAGTTTCATGCTTGTTAATTGTTCTGAAAACACATTTTCTGAGTTTCTGTCAGAGGAATATTTCTAAACCACTGCGATGAGAAAGTACTGACCACGCGAGGGTTTATGCTCCCTCATTCTGGGCTGGACCACCTTTGCTTCGATGGGACAGCCGGCGCTTTGCTTGTCAAAATCGGTGCAGTGTCCTCTGCTCTCCTTGTCCAGGAAGGAGTTAGGTGACTCAGAGCCCTTTGGTCTTTTACTGATGCTGGAGAAGGCGTCTGTTCTCGCCTCTCTGGACGGAGGAACAAATGTTCATTAACTTATCTCCACAGCATGAGGAGGTGGAGGATAAAACAGTCGTAGTGTACGGACGGGTGGGAGCTGAGTGGGCTGAAGACCAGCAGAAGAGAAAGTGCAGCAGGAGGGGGTGCGAGGTAAAGTGATCACGAGCCGGGACCACATTCATTATTCATCAGCTTTAAAGCTCTGAGTTAGGCTGTAGCAAAGGTTGACTGGGGGTGTCTGAATCCCTCACAGCGGGGGGAGCAGGTGGCCTCCAGCCTTCTTGTTTTAGTACTTTACTACTTTTAGAGCTGAAGTTTCCAGTAAATTAATAATCGGTGCACATGAAACAGGATGGCTTACCGCGGCGTGTACGGCATTAGAGGAGGAGGCGGGATGTACAAGTCCAGGATAGCCGGCTTCTCCTTTTTGGTTGATCCATTAGCTGAACTGGAAGGAGACTGGGTTCTAACGAGGGACGAATTATTCTGAAAGAATACAACACAAGCGTGAGTGCCTGATCTAATCTGGAGAATAAAGTCTTCTCATTCCACCTTATGACTGACTGCATGTACAGATCAGTTTGTGTTTCTGCTTATTACTGTTTCGGCTAATAGTTTTTTTTTCTCAGCCTTAAATTAAGACTTAATCTGACTTGCTGGCTAACGGGAGGAGTTTCCCAGATGTGGTGAGACATTTAAGTTCCTGTATGTCGGGCCTTCTTGTTTGAGGCATGGAAAGATTCTGAGTGTAGTCCAAAATAGCCTGAGACACTTACCACAGTTATGTTTCCCCAACATCGTCCTTGAGTGTTACTCTGCTATTCTCATCAGGGAAAAATTACACATCTGCTGATACAGCATTGTAAATGTGATATATGGCAAACTAAACATCCGACTGGGGATCTCGTGAAACACTGCTCTCTGCGCTTCTCCAAATAGCTCAAATAGTACAAATTATATACTATTACAAAACCAGTGTCATTCATTCTCGAGTCACACCGTATGATTTGTCTCTGTTTGGCTCTTCGGAGCCTTGCTATCGCAAATAAACTGAGACGCCTGGCTCTGATGGGCCTGGCTCCGATGGGCCTGGCTCCGATGGGCCTGGCTCCGATGGGCCTGGCTCCGTGTTAAAAGAAGATGCTGGTGGATGTGTAGACATTGGTCACCTTTGTGCACAGAGCCTCTTTCGTTGATTTGAGGAACCCACTCCTAACTGATATAATCTCATCCTGTCTTCTCCGGCTATAAAAGAGGCTGCGCACACGATGACGCGGTGCCAGAGCTTCAGTCTTGGTATCTACGTTTATGACAGGCTTGCAGCCTCCCCCTCTGTCAGTGGGGACTCACCTAATTTAGCGTAATGTGTTCATTTGATTATGAATCAGCTCACACATTCCCTCACAGGCTCGATATTTATCCCATTTCCCTTTAAGCTTTCTTTAACACAAACAAATGATTGTGTGTCTGTTGTTTGCTTTAAACCATGACGTTGGGCCGTCTAATAAACTAACCATTCTGAAACACTAAAGCTCGGAAGCTTTATCTCATAGACTGAATAACATCCTGGGACTTTGTTTGCCTCTTTTGTTGTGCAAGAAAAGCTGAATGCTATATTCACTTGAGCCAGCAGCACTCTTTCAGGGTGGCCCTGTCTGGACTTGCTGCTTTGGAACCAACTCCCTAAAAAGCTGGTAATTGTTTGACAATGATTAGACGAGACAATGATGAAAGGAAGCGTGCATGCATGTGTGCATGTACCTGAGGTACTGGGGGCTTCCAGCGCATGTTCTTCAGTGGGGCGGGGGTGAAACCTGTTGTGCCCGTGGGCCTCTTCTTCAGGAGTAGAACCACACCTTTAGGGTCCTCCCTCAGTTTAAAAACCAGGTTTTTTAGCTGCCAGCCCACCTGGTTAACAGGAAGCGAACGCACATGATGCTCATGCTTTTGATTAAAGATTTACAGTATGTATTTAACTTCCCACACAATCTGGGATTCTTACCACAGTCTGATGGTTGACCTGGATCACCTCGTCCCCAGCGTGGATCTTCCTCGTCAGGTCTGCGGGCGACTAAACATAATGCATAAACAGCCAAGGTCAAAACCAGATAGACCGCTTTTATTGAACTATTCTCAAAATGCTGTGGAAACTGGGCGGCGCTCTGGTACCACTCGTGGCTGATTTCTGCACCAGATGAACACTCAAAGATGAGAATCGTGAGAAAAAGCCTCTCAGTGTGTGTGACTATCAGCAGAATTGTTTTTCATGTCACGAAGATGCCAAACGAGATAAACTGGTCATTATAAACGATGATTCAGGTTGTGATTCAGGAGTGGGGACTGGAGGCGTGAGGATCCAACGGTGGCTGTGATGCACGTGTGTTAGTCACTGACTGAGTGTGTAAGTGTGGTGAAAAGGTAAAACTTGTTTGTGTGGAGTGCAGAAAGAAACTATCCCCTTTGCACATGAGCAGCTCTGAACTCCCTCACATGATGAGAGGAGGATGAAGAGGAGGAGGAGGATGAAACTTACAAAAGCTTGTTTAAGAGTACTGGCAGCGAATGAATGAATTTCAGCACTGAAACTGGATAGAATTGGCTCCTGTCCTACTTACATGTTCTGTGGTTCCAGTGATGACATGCAACCCATCATAAGTAGACTTGATGTACATTCCCTGGGTTTAAAAAGAAAAGAAAAATGGTGGATAACAGCGTATTACCAGTTCACACATCGAATACATTCCCAGACAGACAACCCAAGCAGCCGACCACAAGTTTGAGGTTCAAAAAAAAGAGGAAAACAAAAACATGTTCAAGAATCATTCCTCACCAGACCCTCGCCTGGATTGATGTTGGTCAACTGGACTTCTTCCAAACAAGCCGACTGGCTCATCAGGGGGTCAGAGGTGGTTCTCACGGTCTGATCACAGATGGTGTTCAAAATCTTTGACTGCAGAAGAGAACGCCAAACAAAATGCCTCAGTGGTCAAAATAATAAGCACAAGACTTTAATAAACGTCTCGCTGTGATCACAAGTGCTGCACTTAATCATCCAAAGATCAAGTTATTGTGTGTTTTACAGGTTAGAACTGGCAGTTAGGTTACATTCCTCCTATTCATACTATATGCAAAGTCCTGTGTGCCTGACATTAACCTCACTACTGTGAGGTTTAATGCTCTGCGAGGGGCCATTAGTGTGCTTTTAAGTGGAGCGACCTCAACGCATAGGACTGAAATCAGTCCTTTAAACACACCTCTTCTATGTTCCTTTCTTGCTTAATGGCAAATACTATAATTTCTCATCATTAGAGGGTTTTATCGTATATACTTTATGTAGAGTTGATCTTGAGGAGTATAAAGGCAAGAAATAAAAATAAATCGGACTCGTGCCAAATAAAGAATAGAAAAAAAAGCAGGTGACAAAGAGGAGCAATGAAAGAAAAGTGAAGAAAAAAGCTTTTAAACAAAGACGTCTGTAATATGAATTTCAAAGAAAGATAGAAAATGGTAGAGGAAGCCCAGTGTTAGCCCACAGAGTCTGGAGAGTGTCAACAACAGGAAACACTGATTGATGGCAGGGCCATAATAGACCCACCTCCTCCTCCTCTGGTCTTCTTGTACACCCGCCTGCTCTATTCACTCAAAAATCTGACCTTGCTGCTGAAAGCAAGTCTGACACAATGCCCAATTAAAAAGACTTAAAGGCCCATTCCCCACAATACTGGAACTTCCAGGTCAGTTCTTTGTTTGCAAAGAGATGCAGAGTACTTACAACTTCCAGGATCCTTTCTTCCATCTCATAAACACTGCAGTCCTGTTGCAGAGAATAGAAACAGGGAAGAGGAAGAAGTTATTCGATGGCTCGAGAGCGAAAAAGCAAAAGCATGAAGCAGGGTTTGGGTAAATGGGATATAATCAGAATCCTACATATAGAACTGAGAAAAATGAAAAAAGCCACAAATAAACAGCTTTTAGCTTTAAATGACCGCTTTGCTTAAATTATGTGGATGCTTTAATTACATAACACCCTTTGTGGTTCAGTTTACTTATACTGGAATGTAAATACCATAAGAACAGTCATACAGTAACTATGCGCAGATGACATGGTGAGAAACAGTCGGGAAAACATGTCATCGTGCTCAGAAAACCCTCTTCCAAATAGTCTGCTGGCAGAGAGCAAATATTTGGACGCACGGCCGCTTTCTTCGTTGCGACTGGGTGGGCTAGTGGAGGAGGGGAGGTCCTCTGAAGACAAAGCTGTGATCTTTGCAGATTTTATCAGCAGCTCCTTCACCCAGTCAGCCCAGTCAGCTGGGAAACTGTCCACTGGCCCTCTCCAAGTGTCAGCTAGACAGGACACAGCTGTGGCAACAGCCCCACTGACAACTGTGTCGCTGGCGGGGAAAGAGGGGGGGTCAGTCTAGAGTAACCCCCCCGAGGGATAGCATCCAACAAATCACAGGTGACATGCTTCTGTCAAAACCACAGAGCACAAAGGTATCAGTGTGAGGCTCGTTCCCCCAGAACGCTCACAAGCTACAAACCTGTGGATGGAAAATAAAGGAAAACTGTTGTGATGTGCACAAAGCCAGCTCTGTTGCTCTTTGTAAATGCATTGTACAGACAGCAAATAGGGGGGTCAGCCATGTTTTTCCATATTTCCATAGCTTGCACATTCCACTGGGATAAAGCGGGGCGTTTGTTTTCAAAACCGTTGGCTTGTTTGCACTAACGAGATTTGCGCGACTGTCTGTGGCCGTGAGCGATGGCTTCGCATCAAAGCAGAATGCATGCAGTGCTCCCTAAATATTCCCTTCGATCTGCGTTTTACCGTCTGTTTGAAGGATGAAACTCATTCGGTGAAGGTTCATACATGCGGCTGCCATGTTTCCCTTACTTTGGGGAGGAAAATGAAAAAACAGTATAAACACGAGGTAGGAATAAATGCAATTATAATACATTTCCTGTGACATATATTGGTCCCCAAAAAAATCATGTTTCCAAACAATCTAATTCCAGCCAGGAATATATGGCGGTTTCAGCAAGAATTTAGCTGCTCTTCCATAAACAAACAGCTGCATATTTCTTTTACAGACATGTTTGGATCGCTGCTCTCTTAACTGAGCCAAGAAGGATGAACTAAAAATACATATTTCAACGTTTAGAGGTCGTGAAACAAAACAGCATGTCATTATCAGCTGGCACGACTCCCATCAAGCTTTAACATTTACAGAACTTCTCCATAGTATCAGATCATGAGAAAACGATATCATAGACTTAGACTCCTGGCTTTATTTCTCATTTCTGAGAACTGTTTGTGCTTCCAAAGTAATCCCACATCTTTGTCAGGACCAAAGTAGTCACAATAGACGAGGGCGAGATGAGAAAGAAAGCACTGCGGCTGAGGACAATTCCCTGGGTGTACTGATCCCTGACATTATGGACTTGATCTCACAACCAGTGTGGATCAGATGACTCTCTGGGTGCAGCTCTTTGGGCCTTTGATCAGCCACCAGAGAAGATTTGCATGGTCGGGCAGTGAGGTGGCTGAGAGTGGAGCGCTGGCACGGTGCCGAGCCTGGACTGACTTCACACCTGCAGGAAACCAAGGCCACGGACTGCAGCATGTCACACCTGGGCTTCTCACGTGATGACAACGATGGACTTTATCGTTTGCAGAGAGTTGAACTTCCTTCGTCATCCAGCGGGAAGCGTAAACTAAAGACACGCGGGATTGATGAAAAATGCATACTTTGACAGAGAGTGACCTCCACGCTGACGGGTCAGCCAAGAAGGACGATGCATCCAGTGTTTTATGGCCTTGTCCCATTGTGTGTGCAAACACAGGCTTCATTCAGGCAGAACACATAAAGTGCGATCTCAAAAGCCCCGATTTCTGGGCAAACCTCACGCCGTCCTCCCCCATCATAAAACTAATCACCGTGGCAGACTCCTGTGCAACTCATTTTATTAACCAGTGCTTTCCATGCTAGCCCACTTGCTCTAAAGAAACAAGGAATCCAAACGATTCAGACAAATCGGAAATGAAACGAGGATTTCTCTGAGCCTGTGTGCTTTTTTATAAACTCGATCATGGGATTAGTTGGAAATCGCCCATCCTCATCAGCTGCTGCGAGCTGGCTTAAAACTAGCAAGTCGAACGGCATGTCTCTCCAGCTGCGAGAGGAAGCTAATCTCTCAAGCCTTGCAAGAACCTTTCAGCACCTATCAGAAGTTTATTCTCCACCATAACCTCTCCACTTCACATGGCAGTGTGAGAAATGGATACCCCCACTCCTCCTGGATGACCATGACCGATACACCCACAGTAAATCACCAGAGGCGCTGAAATCCCAGACTCTGGCGAGGAAATAGGCACTCTGGGAAAGGAATTTATTTTGATGCAATAACCCTCTGAAAAAAATGACACCTGCACTCTCAGGAGCCACTTTCGCTGGCAGCGTAAAATGAGTTTCTTATCGGGATAACCCTTGAGGGATAAAAGACAAGCGGATGAATTGATAGGAAAGAAAACCCAGTCAAATAAAGTCTTCCCCATATGCATGAGCAACCACTACTGGTTTCATGAAACTGGCAGAAGCAGGAATAACTATACTGATGCAATTCAAGAGCAACCCTCTGCAGAAATATAAAAGGGTGGTTGCCGGTGCTCTGCGCTATCTGTTAGCCATCTTTCCAGCAGTCTGAAGGACCACCTCCTCAATCCTTCCACTAAACCTACACACAGGAAATGCTTCCAGACGGTTTGGTCTCCCACTGTGAGCATCTCGGAGAAGCAAAAACAGGAACCACATGGCCCGAAGGAGTACAGCAGCCCGGGGAATGTTGGCAGCCACCTCTAAAAGAGCGCTAGTGGGTTTTATGAAACTGGAAGCACAAAAGCAACGTTTACCATTAAACGTCCCCACACCGAGGGGGTCTCCTCATTAGCCAGCACGTGGAGGAAAAGATCCCAAGAAAAACAGCAGCATTTGCAATAATGTGCTCAGACTGCTGGCTTCAGGCTCATGTCATGGCTGCCAGACCACATTTCCCATAACACTCTTCTCCTACACATCTGTGCCCCTGAGCTGGTATGTGCTCAGTGGAAAAAAGCTATTGTGTGTGTGTTTCTGCTGAACTAACTAGCATGCAGACCTGCTGAACTGTGGTGGTGAGCTCCAGGCACAGCTGAATGATCTTGTTCTTGGTGGCTGTGAAGTCACTGATCCCTGTAAGAGGCGTCCTGCGAGCAGACAAAGGAGGAAAGAGAGAACATTGGAAACAAGCGATGGACTGCAGAGATGAGCTCAAGTTTATTGTACTCGCTCAGATTGCTGTGTTTGGCCACCGACAGGCTTGTTACTCGTTTCTCAAGTATGCAACCATTCTGGTGCCAGCTTATACTTTTCTGTCTTTTTCTCACCTCACTCTATCTGAAACATGTGCTTCAAAAACCAGTTTGTAGTCCTTGGAATATGTCTGACTATATTACAAATCTTGAAACAAATAGCACTTACTGGCCAGTAGCACAAAAAAATAAGGATTACTTTATTTGTGTGCCAGAAATACGTCTCTATATATTTTATTGTTAATAAACAAGAAACTTGATGCAAAATCATTAAACTGCCGTCTGACCAGAAACAGATCTAATACCAAATGTGCAAAGACTTGTTTGCTGAGCTAATGTGCTGTACAAATACATTATTATTAGAGTCAGAGAAGCCTAATGACCTACAAACCTGAACCATAAATTTTCTTTGGCTCTGCTTGCACTTTAGCATCACAACAACCATTTAAACAATGACATCAATGCACCACTTTAGCCAAGCCTGTCATAAAAAGGAGAAGCTTAATTTGAGCCAGCTAACACTTAATCCTGGCAACCTGCTTAATATGCTCGGCTTTTATGGCGTAATGTGTTTTGGAGCAGGTCAACAGGAGCGCACAGGACACTCTGCCAGCTGGATATAACGATAAGCTGACATGCAAAAGGTCTTTATAATGCTGAAAACGAACTCTTATGTCTGATCATAAACAGACTCGTTTTTTTGAATGTCAAATTGCATCTTTATTTCAAACTAGTGTGATCGAACGTGACACTTCCGCCTCTCATTAAGGCCGTGACAAAGTGTTACCTGTCGAGCCACGCCAGGAGGCTCTTTGCAGCACCGATCAGCTCCACCACGGAGGTAAGAAAATCGTTAGGTGGCTTTCGCGAGGCGCTTCCATCGTAGGCGGGGCTTTTCCTGCGGTCGGCCGTGGCCATGTGCAGACTGTTGGTGGCAGCTCTCATCCTCACTACCAGATTCTTCAAGTTATCCGACTCCACTCCGTAGTTCTGAAACAGCAAATTAAACATAACAGAACGGTTTAAGAGCACACTCGTCATCAATCCTTCTACATAGTCTACCTGCGAGGCTTATGGTCCCACCCTGTCAAAACAAGTTGTTTCCCGTCCACTGAAAGGCTGTAATCATTGATTTGACAGATATGCTTTGAGTTCACTTGTCTGTGAACATCGTGAACAAGACATCACTCCCACCCAGCTCTAGATTTGTTCTGGGGTGTGAGTACTTGTGCCATCACCTGATTCTTATCAAGCGGTGTGAAGTTTTCATTCCTAAGTCTAAGCTGTTTCCTGCATACATTCCTCTTATTTAGAAGAGGAATGTATGCCGGTCTCAAAGATCAGGGAGTACACTATAAACCGGCTGTGAAGTGAGCTGCTGCAGGAAACCTGGGCAGCAACAGAATTCACCTTTTATCAGAGTCAACAGTGTTTAAACTTTTGCATTCTTGCAGCTGAGAAATTGGAATAATGTGTTTTTTCCATATGTACGCAGTGGAAGGGCAGCCTGGCTCTTGTCCTGGTAAATATCAGCTTACAGGATGTTGCATCGCTGCCAGCAAACGCTGCACTCTGAGTGACATGCCAGGAGCTAAATATGCTTTGCAAGGAGTAACACGGCACGTGTTTGGCAACCAACAAACGAGATCTGCAAGTGGTTAGCGTCTCCTTTTATTCCACCGCCCCTCGCCAACATGGGCTCAAAAACATACATTTGACCAGTTTTAGTCTCCGGGGACACACTGGAATAATCAGACTAGTCAAACAGTAGCTGAAGGCAGCATTATTCACGCCACACTTGGCATGAAATGGTTTGTTGAAACACCATTAAGGAAATGCAAACATGATCAAGGAATATGTGAAAAAAGAGAGAAAAGTCACTTGGTGGTTTTATTCTCATTCGGTGTAACTTTAGCACCAAGGCAGCGTGGCTTTTTCATTAGCAGGCTAATCACACCGTGGCAGCGGCTCTGACTGGCCCACAGATGTCCGCTGAGCTAAAAACCACGTCTGAGCAAAATCTGCGTTTTCACTCAACCCATTTTTCATCCTCACAACATTTCAAGTCAAATTTACATTCTTGCAGTGTCCTTTTTCGCCACACCAAGCTAAACAAAAACCAAGATGGCAGATTTTATTTTTGAAGTAAGGCCTTTCTGGGGCTCTTTGAAGACGTTATTCGCTGACTTTAGGCTCCTCAGGAGAAATCAAGAACTGTTATCACAACACGGTGCTTCCTCCCCTCAGACTTGACTATAAAGGACATATCTTTAAGCAATAGTACAAACATTTGCAGCAGCGCTGTGGCCCATGATGAAGCCGTGTTCAATGGCTGCAGCTAATGCTTGTGTGATGATAGAAGTGTTGAGTTTCAGCACCGACTCTGCAGAAAGCATCAAGGCTCGTGAGAAGACCAGTAAAATGAATTGATGTGTTCTTTCTTTGTCTCTAGACAGCAGTTTGGTCTTGATCTCCTTTGCACGGATGGAGGACGAGTACGAATGCTTCCTAAAGGTTTGCAGCGCTGTATGTTAGCTCATCTTTCATCATGATTTAAGTTTGTAACTATTAACGAGACAAAGATGTGCACACATGCATAAACATTTAAAAAGCGAGAGCAAAGCCTTGCAGCAAAGGGCCTCTACGTCAACAGGAAGTGTCTGACCTCCCAGTAAATTTAAAAAAGAAAAAAAGGGGAGAAAGTGTGAGAGTGTGTGGGGGTTTCGGGTGCTGCTGGGCTGCGTTCCTGTGAGTAGCAGTGACCTTGAGTAAAAGCTAATTGAATCGGGGGCCTCACTTCCTCCCATGAGCCCAGTGGAAGGTTGAGGCCCGCTTCTTAATAGGGAAACCCCAAACGGACAAAAAACATTATACTTCAAGGCTTCAATCAGGGGTGAAAGGTTAAGGACAGTGCACCAACTACCAAAGCACAAACTGGCAGCATGTTTTACCGTAAATCTTAGAGCAAAAGCACTTGAGATTCCACTTTGTCAATGCAAAAGATTCCAGGGATGAATCCAAATCTGGGCCTGGTTACTGGGATAGTGCAACACATGGTGCAAATTTTATGATAAATAAATCCAATAAAAAAAACCCCAATGAATACGTGCTGAATGCTTCCATCTGTTCAGTGCGGTGACTACAGGTAGAGCACTGATAGGAGGCAGGAGCTTATCGTACATTGATGGAAAAACTGTCAAAAACTGTGTCAAAGGGAAGAGATTAACATATTTTGCATATCACTCACAATTAAACTGATAAATAGACAGGTAGGACATGAGATTAGATACTTCAGCGTCCTTCCTGTAGATTGTGTATATTAATAGCTCAGTTCATGTGACTCTATTCCAATGCAAAGAAGCTAAGGAACAATAATAAGATCCAAGCTAAGCGCACGTACACTTGCTTTATTAAGAATGCACGAGAACTCAAATGTGGCTTTTGTGCGCAAAAAAAAAAAGAAAAGTAAAAGTAGCTCCAAATCTATTCTACCCACAATTTTCCATTCCGCCTCATGTAGTAGAAGATTTAACATTTAAATAGCTTTGAGCAAAAATAACCATGCCACAAATGATTAATGTAAAGTGTTTTAAGAGCGCACAGAAATGCTGACACTGATCAAAACGCGGGGACCACAAGCTTGGACTTTTATGGCACAGGAAGTGATAAAACTCCAAATCGATCCCATCTGCTGGAGAACCTGTTTCTCTTTCAGCTGGAGCGCGGAAGGTTTCATCACTCTTTACTCGCCTGCAGGTCTCAGGCAGACACATTTTAGCTGGAAGCTGTTCTGGGATCTGTGGTGATGGACAGCAGATCAGCGTGACTCAAAGTGAGCAAGAGGAGCCAAACATGGGATTTTGATACTGAACCGGGAGAGATTCAGCATGGAATTAGGAGTGAAGATGATTGCAGGAGTAAGCACGAAACCAACTTTTCATTTCCTTTGAGACTGATGAACAAACAGCTTAAGTACGTATGTATTTGGTGCACATATAGCGAGAAAGGAGGAGGAGCTTCTTATTTTATCTGTCAAACACATCTAACTGCCACTGCTAGCTACATGTTGCCCATTAGGATCAGCTTCTGTTATCTCCCACATCTACAAACTGCCACACAGCTGTGACACCTGTGACCTGCTCTTCTCCAGTGTCCTCAGGCTGATTCATGTGTCGCGATGCGTCCACACCCTGCTGAGATGTGTGGGAAACGATGAGCTCTTCTGCATCGCTAGTTCCTTTAGCTGCCAGACCAGAAACTACCAGTTGAGTTTTTAGTGAATGAGAGCGCGGGGGGGAGGGTCAGGGACCAACAGAGCCTTCCTGAGGTACAGCCTATAAAATCCTCACATAGATTCAACCAGAAACAGATCTACTGACCAGAGCGCATAGCAGGTCGACAGCCTCCAGCACCAGCTCCTGGTGGCCAATCCTGGCAACGCCGAGCTCTTCCAGGTCCTGATGTGTGATCTTCAGCAGCTGCTCGCCACTGATCTTCTCCCGCTCAAAGTTGCTAACGTACTGCTGCAAGCTGTCATCCAAACCTACAACACACACAAGAAGGAAAAGGGAAAAAAAAAAAAACAGCAAATGAGGATAATCTTACCAAAGTATGTTGATGTCATTCACAAACCTTTTTGTCGCCATGCAAAACAAAACCACAAAAATCAGGTGATGTCAGGTTTTTTAGCACGTTCCAAGTGTGCGTGTGCACTGTCCAGATAAGGAGCAGGTGGGATGGCTGTCTTTGCTAGATAAACAAACTATAAACAGAGTAACGGTTGAGAGCTCTCAGTCTGTTAGACTGGTTAAACAATGGGTGGCTGTATTTGTGTGTATGCATGTTAGGTCTATGTGGGTGTGGGTGTTTGCAATAAGTGCGTCCGCATCATGGGTGTCCCCTTGCTTCTATTCCAAACTCCACTAACAAATGACTTGGACTGTGACACCAACTGCTACAGTCACTGAACTTACAAGGATGCAGCTCACACAGCCTCCTCTCACACTGCATATGATTTCAAAGCTGTGCATTATAATAAACAAATGCACAAAACATGCCCTCCCTATGCATGCAATGCACCCCTCAGGGGACCAGAAAGTAAAGTTCAAACAACAGAGGAGAAAATGAGCCTTTGTGTATTTTGTGAGTGTGTGTAGCTGTGGGTGTGGAAGTAAACGCCATCGCCTCTCGCCATCAAAGAGCGTACACAGAGGCGGCAGCTGCAGCTACATGGCCCTGCGCCCCGATTCCCTCTGAAAGACCCGTCAGCTGCAAGACTCTCCCACTCTTTCAGACCTCAGCACATGCACGAAGCACAACTGACATTACTTAGCGTGGCGCATGATTAGGTGATACATTTTAAGTGGGGCATCCAAGTTCAAAAGCGACTTGACAATTTTAGCCTGGCCACGTGCGACATCTGCAGATGGGTCCTTATCAAACGTAGAGGTATGAGTGAAGCCCTGTGGGTTTATTCTGTGGTTGCTTTTGTCTTTAAATGGCACCTCATATGTTTATGTCCCTGTGGGGCTCAGTTCGTGCACCTGTTGCCGAGAGTTTGCATAAAGCAAAGACAAAGGTGTGCATGTGACAGTCACTCCTGACCAAACAATACTGAATTGCATGCAAATACTTGTAGCATGCATTCTGCATTAAAACGCATTAAAGCATGAATACAAGCACAACAGTTTAAAAAAGCCATAGAACATATTTTCAGAGTTATGGACTCAGACTGAAATTAAACCATTTTGGTGTTGTGGGCAGGGCTCAGTTTAAAAAGTTCCAGCCACCAATCAGACGACTGTCGTCAGGTGACTCAGCGAGCTCTGCAGCCACAGAGTTCCCATGAGGTAAATACTGTCAGGAGACCTCAGGACATTTTTATAATCACTTCTCGTGATGTTTTTTTTAAAGTTATGTCAAACTCTTTAACACCTGTTGCATGTTTCATGGTAGCATTCGACTTTAGAGCGAATCTTTCTGTTCACATGCCTATAAAAGAGCACCTTTCAGACACATTAAAACCTCATTATGGTATCAAAGTTCCCTCTGACAGCAATTTTAATCCTTCAGAAAATATAATCCATGTGTGAGAGCTCAAGTCGTCTCCACTGAATCACAGAGAAAATCCATCACGACTCGTTAACCATTAGCCTCCATACAAGTCAGGTCCAGTTAGGCTCATTACATTTTTCTCATTCCTCGGCATGCTAATCTTAGGCAAGACTTTCAGAGAATTTTTAGGCTTAACCCTCGACTGGCCGGTGTTCTGCGAGGGAATCCACTTCGCATTGTAGGAAAGGGGCTGAGCACTGGCCTGAGCCCACACTGACATGAACACAAGCCAAGCACAAACACAGGGCCAGTCACTTAATGCGATTAGATGAAAACAAAGACGTGGGTCTGGACGGGGCAAAGTCTCCCTTTCCTGCTGTGTTAAAAAGGCATTTCCTGTGGAATGGTGCCACCGTCCTTCCACCAACAAGGGAAAGTTGTGGTTTAGGCTACAAAAAGAGTTGAAGGGGCTCCAATTGTAGGATGTTAACTGTTTGAAAAACACAGAGTAGATATCAGAAAGCACTCTGGAATTAATTGATTGGACTAACTGATGAGGGGCTATCCTCTCCTTTAGCTTGTTTTCACTTTCATTCTTTGGCAAGAATTTTCCTAGAAGTTAGAGCTGTAGGCATCAGGAAAATCACTCCGTGATGTTCTGGCTTAGGTTTAAAATGTTTTTATTTGTGCTAAATACAGAAAGGGGACATTTCCCCCCTCTGACACTTAAAAAAATAAAAACAGTGAGGCTTATAAAACATTTATTGTGCCTCAATCAATGGCTGTTAGGGCGTGTGTATGTGTGTGCGAGACTATCAATTTTCATTAAAGGGCAGAGAAACCAGTAAAAGAGATAGAGTGTCACGTTATTGTGAATTGAGTAAAGGGGGAAGCAGAGGGGAGGAGTGTGTGAATGCTTTTGAAAAGCCTGCACAGGATGAAATGCTGTGGAGGTTTATGGCCTCTGAGAACCGCTTGGCAAATGTCCTCAAACCAGAGCGAGTGCATGTAAACCGGGAAGCAAAGCACCAAAACACCAGACAATCACTTACCTCCTTCTATTTACATCATCAAAAAGTCTAAATTACTGTGTGCATTTTGACAGCTGGTTCGTGCTTCATCATTCTTTAGCTCAAAGTTGTCCAGTGTGAGATGTGACAATCTGCTGTTTTCCACTTCATATCAGTGTAAATGCATTTTGCAGGCTAACTTAGCATTCTGAATACTTTAGCTTGAGCTGTGAAATAATAAATCTTACTTTTCTAAAAGTAAACAGAGTTTGCTTGTCAAAGTTCTCACATTTCAAAATCTGAACCAAAATCTTGCAGCACAAATAACTCCTTCATCCTGAGTCTGCAAATAAGTGCTTCATTCCCAGCCCACAGAGGCTCGATCATCCAGGTAAGGAAATCCCAAAAAGTTGATTCTGTTCATCCGGGAACAATCAGAGAGAAGGTGTGAGAGTACCAGTGTCACAAAGAGTTAAAAAAGAAAGAATGGAGAAGACAGACTGTAATCACCAGTGTTGGTCAAGTTACTTGAAAAAAGTAATCAGTAACTAATTACTGATTACTTCCCCCAAAAAGTAATCCCGTTACTTTACTGATTACTTATTTTCAAAAGTAATTAATTACTTAGTTACTTTTTAAAAACACGATTTACAACCTGAATAGCTGATAAAGCGATAGATCTTTCAGCCCAATTCTACTTTTTCTACATAATCCATCATACAAAATGTAATCAAATGGAAAAGTCTCCTTTTAAAACTTGTTTTATTAGTTTTAATCTTTTAACTTTATGCATCAAGCAAAAATTAAATTATATGCAACATTCTCTGACTGGAAGAAATTAGTTTAATATTTAAACCTATTTTCTGCACATTCCAACACATAAAAAATTTTTTTCGTGTGTGTTTACACTCAGTCTTTCAAATAGATGCAAGTAAAACACAGCAGAAAATAAATAAAGTCAAAGACTCAGCGGTCCTTTTGCTCTATTTTCACCTGTAAAGCAGGAGTTGGGTAGGCGGAGGTTTACCCTGGTGCAGGTGTGCCGCAGCGGTCAGTTGAAGAATCCGCGAGTTTCTCTGTGAGTTTCCCATTACATCGCTTGTTTAGGGGTTTTTTTCGCTGTAAAGAGAAGTTTTCTTCCCACCCACAATGGACACTAATGTTTTTGTCACTTTTTATGGACTCAAACTTAAAGTAAGGTCAGTACTTCCACGCTTTAAACACTGCACGCTCATACTCTCTCCCGCACTTGATATATTATCCACTGTTGATCTGCACACAGCTGTTGTCACAAACGTCGCACTCGCTTACGTCACTGAGACATTCTCGCAAAAAAAACCATGGTTTTAGTAACGCAGCGTTCCTACAGGAAAGTAACGGTAATCTCATTACCGTTTTTGCAATAGTAATCCCTTACTTTACTCGTTACTTGAAAAAAGTAATCGGATTACAGTAACGCGTTACTGTAATCCGATTACTTTTTTGCCCATCTCTGGTAATCACTGGTAATCACTAACAGTGCAGAAGATGACTGACAAATGCCAGGGTTAGAGGTTAGAGCAGGGGTGGGCAATTCCAGGCCCCGAGGGCCGGTGTCCTGCAGGTTTTAGATCTCACCCTGGGTCAACACACCTGAATCACATGATTAGTTCGTTACCAGCCCTCTGGAGAACTTCAGGACATATTGAGGAGCTAATTTAGCCATTTAAAATCAGCTGTGTTGGTTCAAGGACACATCTAAAACCTGCAGGGACACCGGCCCTCGAGGCCTGGAGTTGCCCACCCCTGGGTTAGAGGTTAGGGGATCTGGCTGTGTCTAATGTGGCACCTGCTGTTCAATGTGGGGTCTCACCACCACACACTGTTTCGGTAAACAGTGATTATGTGCAAAACAGGTTAGCAGCAAAGGTTTAGCAGTACAATGGATAAACCTTCAGGACAGCAGGACAAGAGCTGGACAATCTGGACAACATAAATGGAACTAGACCCGCCTAGTGGCCTTTAAGCTCTGCAGCCTACTTAAAGCCTGTGTAAGCACACAGTTCTGGCAATATAAACAGAGCACATCCTTTTGCAAAAGGTTAGTTTATTCTTATCCTAATCTCAACAATTGGCTGTTTTTTTGTCTAAAGCACAAAAGAGCCCAGGACTCTGTATTTGTGATGAACAACATTAAACAACAGCAAACAGGATTGAACAGGATTTCTGAAACAAGTTCACATCTTTGTCCCAAGGAAAAAAACCAAAACTGATCAGTTCAGATCCATAATGCTCTTCAGTGCAGCTTTTGGTTGCCAACTTTTCGTTCTCAGGGGTTTGATTACATTAGTAAAAGAGCACGCAGTCTTTCTCCCCCAACAGAAAGAAACAAACAATCTCCCTCCCCCATCTTTCAACCCCTCCCTGTGCTCCCAGTGGGAGCACTTGCCACCATGTAACACACACACACACACACACACACACACACACACACACACAC